CAGAACAGGGGATTGAACTCAGGCCCTTGCGCTTGCCAGGGAAACGCTTATCCTACTGAGCCATCTCCCTGGCCCCAATTACATGATCCGTAAAGAGAGATTCATTTTTTTTTTTAATGAGCAGAATATATTTATTGAGAGAAAGAAAGCTCCTGTCCCGAGAGAGAGACAGGAGGGGGGGGGCTGAGAGGGTAATTCCCCCTGCAAGAGATTCATTTTTATATGAGTAAATGATTAATGTTTTGAAAGAGGTAATGTAGAGGTAATGTGAAGCCAGAGACATACTGAATGACTGAATGACTGGATGTTGTGGGATTGAAGATACTCAGTTTTGAGTAGGATCCTCTGGATATTGATATTATTAAACATCAAAGTAATGAAATCCCTCAAAAGAAGTTGAAGAAGTTACTGACCATGTACAACTAAGATTAGCAAAAAATGATGGAGAACTTTCTCATTGTTGTGGTCATTGGAGAGCTATAAAGAAGGTCTAGGGGGATAGCATCTGGTGAGGGCTCTCTTGCATGGTTGCAGATGGTTGATTTCTGACTGTCTCTTCTGTTGACACAAGAAAGAAATCTGTTTCTCTTATATCTCTTCTTATAAGAGAATTCATTCCTTCAGACAAACATTCCATTCTTGTGATCTCATCTAACTTTATCTCCTCAATACCCATCTCGGAAAAACCAATACAGATAGGAATAAGTGGGGGGAGGGCACACTTATTCCATAAGAAATGTTCTCAGTGTAGTTACGGCCACAAACAGAGCTGTTCTCTTTGTATATTTCTTTCTGAACAGAATTCTGTCACAGGAAAAAAATACCGATCAAAGAAGGATCACATGATGTGTAAGCTTATGTGCTTGTGTATTGCTTACTCTTCTACCATTGGCGGGCTGACCACGATCACTGGTACCTCCACCAACTTGATCTTCACTGAGCATTTCAACACGTAAGTAAAATCATGGGATTAGTGACAAATTGACAGCACTTGAATTATGCAAGTTATTCTTACCTGATTCAGTGATTACAAGGACAGAGAGGCTATGCCTGGTTAAATCATCTTTGCTGCCTTTAGCGCATCTATATGTCTACAGATTGTTCTTTGGAATAGTTACAATGCAGGCCCAATGGAATACATATGTGCCTGCCGATTCCACGGGCCACCTGAGGTGGGAAACCTCCTGGCTCACTATTCTCGTCAGAAAGACACTGCAGTTTTCACTGAAAATAATTCAGTAAATGGTAGCTGGCTAGAAAAAAAGGGGTTGTTTGCATGGGGCAATTTATGTAAGACTTAGAACTGGCACTGGAACTTAAATAATGAGGGTGAGTAGAGGCACTAATTACAAAAGATTTGGTTTGGAATTCAAAAAACTTTTGAAGGATTAAACAGTTACAAGAAATGGCAGTAATATTCCGTAGACATATGTGACTCTAAGTATAAATTTGAAACTGCAATGACAATCCATTACACACAAAAAAAGGGGCATCTTTGGATGCAGCCATCATATCACTTTGGTTAAAAAAAAATGCCACAATTTACACTTCATGAATTTGAACCAGAAAAAGTACATTGTTCTCACAAGATAGGGTTTTACACATCATAGTCATGGTTTGTAAGGTTATTGTGACAAAAGTGCACATGGTTTTAAAATATTTGTCACCCAACTCAAATATTTTGAGCACTCAGACAGATTCTACAGCCAACATGTATTTAAGCGGTAAGAGGACATATAATTGTTATTTTTAAGGAAGTGAGTAATGTCAGGAAAGCTCAGAAACAGGAGGTAGTCTTTTACACAGAAAAGTTGGGTTCAGAATCAGGAAAAGTATATTCTGTAAGCAGATTCATGAACTTCCTGAAATTATTTACAAAATGTGCATACATAGTTCTTCAGAAAACCCAAGAGTGAAAAAATGTCAATCCACAGTTTAAGAAGAATGGACATTTGTGTGTGAAGAACACTGGTATAGAACTATAGATTATCACGTAGACCTGTGTATCTACTCACTGTTTCAGTGAATCAGCAGCTTTCTTTCTTTCTTTCTTTCTTTCTTTCTTTCTTTCTTTCTTTCTTTCTTTCTTTCTTTCTTTCTTTCTTTCTTTTTTC